CGCTTCCCCCCCGCATTTTCCTGCCCGTGTGACCGGGCCCAAAAAATAACAAGAAGAAGTGAAGACATTGGATTTATATCCTATTCTTCATTCCGAGTCGCAGAGCGTCTTATAATCTCCTTTCCCTTCCTCTCCCCACAACAGACGCCCTGTGAGACAGGTGGGGCTGAGAGAGCTCTTCTGAGGACTGCTCTTGAGAGAACAGCTCTGAAAGAACTTGCAACTGACCCCAAGGTCACACCAGCAGCTGCATGGGAAGGAGTGGGGAATCCAACCCGGCTCTCCCAGATTAGAGTCTGCGCTCCTAACCGCTACACCAAACTGGCCTTCAGTCTACATAGGGGTGAGGGAAAGGGGAATACAAAATGGTCTGCAGAAGTTGTGGAGTGGTTAAGTGGAGTGGTTTGGTGTAGTGGTGAAGTGCGCGGACCCTAATCTGGGAGAACCAGGTTGATTCCCCACTCCTCCTCCACTTGCACCTGGCTGGATGACCTTGGGCAAGCCGTAGTTCTGGTAAGAGCTGTCCTTGAAAAAGAGCCGTTTCTGTCAGAGCTCTCTCAGCCCCACCGACCTCCCAGGGTGTCTGTTGTGGGGAGGGGAAGGGGAAGAAGTCTGTAAGCCGCTCTGAGACTCCTTTGGGTAGTGAAGGGCGGGGAATAAATCCACCCTCCTCCTCCTCCTCCTCTTCTTTTTCTTCTTCGTCTTCTTGTGTCGTGGTTAAGTGCACGGACTCTAATCTGGGAGAACCGGGTTCGATTCCCCCACTCCTCCACTTGAACCTGGCTGAATGACCTTGGGCAAGCCCTAGTTCTGATAAGAGCTGTCCTTGAAAAAGAGCAGTTTCTGTCAAGAGTTCTCTCAGCCCCGCCTACCTCCCAGGGTGCCTGTTGTGGGGAGGGGAAGGGAAAGGAGATTGTCAGCCGCTCTGAGACTCTGAGTGAAGAGTGGGGTATAAATCCAATCTCTTCTTCTTCTTCTCTCGGTCAGCATTTGAATACGTCTTCCACGTGGAGGTGATTCACCATGTAGCCAAGTGGTTCCCAACATGGTACCTGCCGCCGCCACCTTTCTTGGCACTCACCAAGTGTTGTAGAAAGCAGGCAGGGTTTTGGCCAGGAAGGTGTCCAGCCAGCCATTAGGAGATTTGATTGGCTGCGCAGATTTTGAAGTTTTGGCTCAGGCTGTGTTTCGGAAGCTGTTTCGGAAGCAGCTGCTGCTGCAGCACGAGGATCCTCACTCCCTGACATTTTGGGGTTGGTGCCGCCTCCTATGGAGCCTGGGTGACCTGCCATCCACTGACTCAGCTTGGGTACACAGAACAATAGACTGCTAGGATCCTGGGAGGAGCCTATCGACCAGGAGTACCTCTGTAAATAACCTATTACGGGTAGTGAGTTTGTGTGGGGTGTGGGGTTGGTCACGGATTTAAGCAGGGCTTTGGTCCTGCTACGGGTGTCTTTTAGTTTAAGCTGTAATCACAATAAAGCATGAGCTTATCACAACCGCGTGTCGAGCCCAGTATATTTCACTGCGGAAGGCGGGGTTTGGGGAAGGGAGGGACCTCAGACAGGTAGAATGCCATAGGGTCCACCCTCGAAAGCAGCCATTTCCTCCAGGGGAACTGCTCTCTGTAGTCCAGAGATGAGTTACAATTCCAGGAGTTCTCCAGGCCCCACCTGGAGGCTGCCGAGTGCCGACCCTACTGGGTG